ATCAAATAGTGCAAAAATTTGTTGGTCAAACCTGCCAACCTTCTTTGGCCGAGGTAACCATCTCGGTCAAAGAGTGCAAAAAGTTGTTGGTCAAACCTGCCAACCCACTTTGCCTCCAGTCGTGCAAAAATTTCTTAGAAAGAGTTAGTAAAACCTACCAACCATTTTTGGCCGAGGTAACCATCTCAATCAAAGAGTGCAAAAATTTGTTAGTCAAACCTGTCAACCTTCTTTGGCCGAGGTAACCATCTCGACCAAAGAGTGCAAAAATTTGTTGGTCAAACCTATAACCTTCTTTGGCCGAGGTAACCATCTTGATCAAAGAGTGAAAAATTTTGTTGGTTATACTTGTTAACCTTCTTTGGCTAAGGTAACCATCTCGGTCAAAGAGTGCAAAAAGTTATTGGTCAAACCTGCCAACCTTCTTTACCCTAATTATGCAAAGATTTGTTAGAAAGAGTTGGTCAAACTTGCCAACCTTCTTTCGCTGAGATAACCATCTCAGTCTAAGAACTCAAAAATTTGTTGGTCAAACTTGCTAACTTTCTTTGGCCAAGGTAACTATCTCAGAATGCAAAAAATTGTTGGTCAAACCTGTCAACATTCTTTAGACGAAGTAACCATCTCGGTCAAAAAGTGTAAAAATTTTTTGATCAAACCTGTCAATTTTTCTTAGCTGAGGTAACGACCTTGATCAAAAAGTATAAAAATTTGTTGGTCAAATAATCTAATAGAATAATAACATAAAAAAAATAACACCCAAAACAAAATATCGACAGCTTAGTGAACTATTTGTTTTTTCAAGAAAAATCCAAGTCAACTATGCCAGAACATATGATTCAACAAAGCCATTTCAGTCTTCACTCTGAAATTATAAATCTTTTTCCTTTTCCCCGCAAATTTTCAGAAATCAAACAAAACAACAGTAATCGTATTTGACTACTATGTAATATATATTTTTTTAAAATATATATATATATATATATAACGACTTTAGATTGTTGTGAAAATTGAACAACAATTTTTCTAAATTAATTTTGTAGAATAATGATATTAAATAAAACAGAATTTTAAAATTGATTTTATACAGTTTGATAAGAATAAATATACATATATAAAACAAAAATACTGAAGAAGAAAAAGAAGCTTCAGGAATAACCTGTGTAATTGTGAGAGGCATGTCAAATAAGTTGTACTAAAATTGTTTTGCGCTCCCTCCGTACAGGTTTTAATGATCATAAACGACTCCAAATTACAACTCAAAATTTCACAAGATCTAACACAATGCACAGTTGCACTAGAAGAATTTTCCAAGTATGTATCGGTTGCCCAAAAATATGGAATATAAAATATAGTAAAGAGGAGAGAGAGAGAGAGAGAGAATCAGAGAATATTGTATATTTATATAGACTCTTTGATGTCTCTTTGATGTTTGTTGGGAAGAGACACGCTGTTCCTTTTTTAATTCAAATACTATTTGAATTATAAATTGTAGGAAAAACAAAAAATAATATACAGCGAAAATAAATCGAATAATTCCCAGTGGGATAGAACTATTAGAGAACTACCTACACTCTTCACAGTACAATGACATGGTTGTTCTCCCATGACAGAGAGCTAGAGAGAGAAAGTCTATTTAAGATAAAAACTATTCGGTTGAAACCCATATTACATTTTACGTCATATGTATAGATGTAAGAGATGTAACCATCCACAATTCTATCTCTACATAAGATGAGATTGTGGGTATTCATTGATTTGAAATTTAAACTAATAAGGTCATAATGTGGGTTATGGGTCATACCACCATTGCCGCCCAAAAGCAAGTCTCAAACCTGACCTGATTTCCAACATAAGTAAATATGACTATTTAGAAAAGAAATAAACAAATAAGTAAATACAAATAATATATTAAAATAATATAAAATAAATACAACCAAAGTTTTGAAACTTCTAAGAAATTTCCAAAAACAAAAGACTTGGAAACTTCCCTTCTAACCGAAACAAAAACAAAACAAGTGGTTCTGTTAAAACGCCAAAGAAACCAAAAACAAGTTGTTCTGTTTTTGTATAATTTTATTTATACAAAAAAAATTAATTTTATGTGATTCCTTTATTTTAAATCAAAATATCATTATTATAATTTAAATTTATAAAAATAGCAATATCACATTAATATGTATGAACTTTATGTATAAAATTTTATTTATGAAACATATTTCTTAGTGTCAACATCAACGAAGGCTTGAAATTATACTTTTTTTTTAAGTTTAAATCCAAACAACACGACCAAAAAAAAAATGTAAACTACTACAATAATAGAATTTTGATAGTTGAAACACACACTAAAATATCGTCATAGGAAATATTTATAAAATTTATTAATTTGTGTTATGATGTGTCATGTATTTACTTTATACTGAAAGAAAAATGTTTGGGACCCTACAACAGAGGACGTTTATGATTTTTGCTAATGTATTGATAATTGATGTGTTTAATTTTTTTTGAAAATTGTATCTAACAATGATAGTAACATAACTGATTGAGATCATTTTGGGAATTGTGAGAATTGTGTTTTGTTGTATAGAATTCCTTAAAAAACAAATAAACAGAAATTTCTTGTAAAATATTGTTATGGAAAAGAATAGTGAATTGACCAAAGGTGAGTGGTTGAACGTCTTGTCAGTTTGCTTATTGTTGACATCAACGAGCACTTGAAATTAAAATTGAAGAAATTACTTACCAATTGTCCTTTTAAAAATTTTATGGTTTTGATTATTAACATTTATGAAGTTTATTATTTATCTGTAATTTCTTTTTCAAATCTTACACTGAATTGAAATTCCTCCATTAAAAATTTTTCTGAAGTCTAACCTAAAAAAAAGAAGAAAGAAAGACTAAGTGCCGTTTTGGGAACAAAATAAAAAATCATGTTTTTAGATAAAATGTCCAAAAACGTAACAAATGTGGTTGGAAAAGAGCCAAAAATGCAAGTGTAAAATTACAAATTAGGGTCTATGAAAAAAAAATAAAAAAATAAATTTCTTATGTTGAGTAAAGATATTTTGATCATTTTAATTTAATTTGACATCATAAATAAATATTAAACTAAAAAGTAAAAAATCAACTTTTTACCAACTTCTCAAATTACTTTCCAAAAAGCTAAAAAGTTTGGTAAAAAATCAAAAATCAACTCTTTACCAACTTCTCAAAACACTAATATAACTTATAAACTCTTGTTATTCATTGATGTGATACACAAAAATAAAATTTTGGAAATTAAAATAGGACTTAATAAGTATAACTATGTAAGTAAATATCAATCGTGATTTTGGCCTCGAATTCGATGCCTCGAATTTGGTTCGAATGCCGTTTTTTTTTTTTTTTTTTAAGTCTAATATAAAATATTATATATTTCGCATCAACTCATCATATAAAATTATATGAAATTAACAAAATTTAATCAATAATTTAACTGATCAGTCAATTTTATCATTTAACCAGTTCAATTTAATTGACTGATCAGTTAGACTGTTGGTTAAAATTCGTTAATTTCATATAATTTTGTACAATGAGTTAGTACAAGATGTCTAATTTTTTGGCACATCCCTACACATAACCACCATTAAAAAAAATTTTAAAAAAAAAACCAACACAGCCTAACAAATAAAATTAAATTAAATTAAAAAAAAATTGATCAGTCAATTTTATTATCCAATCAGTCTAATCCAACTCACTTATAAAATGTCTAATTTTTTAGCACACTCCTATACATAATCACCCCTATAAAAAAATAAAAAAAACGATCATGCTACGTAGCTCGAATGCCGCGGCTCGAATCGCGGCTCGACACCAAAACGACGTCGTTTTGGTGTCGATTTTGTATTTTGTTTTTTTTTTTTTTTTTTTTCCTGGTTTTGCAGAAGAAGAAGAAGAAGAAGAAGAAGAAGGGAGGAGGAAGGGGAGGAGGAGGAGGAGGGAGGGGAGGGGAGGGGGCCATAAAAACCCGGTTTGAGGAGGAGGGGAGGCTGGGCTGCGACGGAGGCGGGGCTGCGACGGAGGAGGAAGCAGCAGCAGCGGCCGGAGCTGCGACGACGACGGGGCGGGGCTGCGACGACGGCGGGGCGGGGCTGCGACGACGCCGACCTTCCTCTCCCTCCCTTCTCTTTCTCCTCTCCCTCTCTTTCTCTCCCTCTCCCTCTCCCGCTCGAGCCATTTCGAGCCTGGTAGCTTCGAGCTACCAGGCATTTCCGATTATAAAATATGAATTTTTTTATAAATAGATTTCGAGACAAATTCGTGCCTCGAATTCGAGGACTGAATCATTAATCTTGAACCAATTAGATTGAATTAGAGCTAATTTATAACAAGAAAAATGCTTCGTAGGTCGAAAAATATTTGGTTTGAATTGGCTCAAGTACCTAAAATCTACAGAAGAAAAAGATGGAGAAGGGGAAGAGGAGGAGAAAAAAAAGATGGAGAGGAGGAAGAGAAGAAGAAAAACAAAGAGGGGAATAGATCTGTATACACACAGAGGAGACTCTTTTTCTCTCTTTCTCTTGTGTGTGTTTGTGTATTAGGAGGGAGTGTATGAAATGGACACTTATGGTCAAATACCACAATGATAGGAGGGAGATTGATGAGCTACTTATTAATGAAGTTTAGGTAAGGTGGGTGGTGAAGCATTCAATGGCCATCAATGCCGGCCACGCTTTCTTAAGTCCATGTCTAACTGTCTCTCTCTCTAGGTTTGATTTTTTGTTTTAATTTGTGGGTTTGATTTTTGGTTTTGATTTGAATCTCTTTAGGTTTGATTTTTGGTTTTAATTTGTCGGTTTGATTTTTGGTTTTGATTTAAATCTCTTTGGGTTGGATTTTTGGTTTTAATTTGTGGGTTTGATTTGTGAGTTTGATTTTTGGTTTTGAGTTTTGGGTTCAATTTGTCTGATTGGTTTTAATTTTTGATTTTTGGGTTTGAATCTCTCTGCTCTTCCTCTCCTCTCTTCTTCTCTTCTCTCTCCTTCTTTCCTCCTTCTCTATGAACCTGCGAGTTAGGGGGGAAAAAAAAAACAAACAAAACAAGACATCGTTTTGGTCTCGAGCCACTTGAGCCTCCCCTCTTTCGAGCTACCTACCGGGGTCATTAATAACAATTATCATGTTTTGTGGGCCTTTTTAGAAGGAAAAAAATTGTAATAATTATACCAATAGAGATGTTCGCTTTATATATTAATATATATATTTGTATAATATATTCAAAGTAAAAATAAGCAGAAATTTCCTGGAAAATATGGCAAGAGTGGAAAGAAAAGTAAAAGTAATATGCTGAATAATTGGACACTCAATATATCTATATAAATATTTGTATAATATATTCGAAGTAAAAAATAAGCAGAAATTTCCTGGAAAATATGACAAGAGTGGAGAGAAAAGTGAAAGTAACATGTGGCCTGCGTATGCTGAATAATTGGACACTCTGTGTATATAGTGGCCATATCTACTTCATTCATCTCAATACAATACAATACAATACAATATATCTCCCACCTGTTAGGTTTAGCATGACCATGAATAGATCAAGGCAACCTGTTGCAATTCTTTTCTTCCTTCTTGTCTTTCTCACCATTACATCCATTCATTTTAGCTTCTGCAATGCAAACCATGATGTGGTCATGTGCATGGAGAGTGAGAGACAAGCTCTTTATGCCTTCAAGCAAGACCTAGTAGATCCTTCAAACCGACTCTATTCTTGGGAAGTCGAAAATGATTGCTGCAAGTGGGAAGGAGTTGTTTGCAACAACTTAACTGGCCATGTCCTCGAGCTCCATCTTCAAAATCCTTATACTTCATTAGATTTTGATTATGAGCTTAATGACTATTGGTTTAAGAAGTCAGCATTGAGAGGTGAAATCAATCCTTCTTTGCTAAATTTGAAGCACCTCAAGCACTTGGATCTAAGTCTGAATGATTTTGGAGGAATACCAATCCCACCCTTCATTGGATCTCTGGCAAGTCTGCAATGTCTTAACTTGTCTGAAGCAGGATTTGCGGGAATAATTCCCCATCAACTTGGAAATCTGTCGAGTTTACGTTTTCTGAGTCTTAAAATTTTTGGTTCTGATCTTGGTTTGATGGATGTTGACAAGCTTCAATGGCTTCTTGGTCTTTCCCACTTGGAACACCTTGACCTAAGCTTCGTGAGCCTTTTCGAAGCACCCAACTGGCTGCAGGTAATTAACGAACTCCCTACTTTAGTAGAGTTACATTTGTCTGGTTGTGAACTTCATCGCAGTCCTCATCTGCTCGATGTTAATTTTACATCTCTTGTCGTCCTAGATCTTTCATGGAACTACTTTGACTCTGTAATACCCAGGTGGATCTTTAGCCTTAGTAGCCTCGTTTCTCTTGATCTAGGCGGGAGTTTTTTTGTAGGCAGGCTTGAAGGTTTTAGAGAAAATGGATTTGAAGGTCCATTTCCTAAGGTTTTCCAGAACATGACCAGTCTTGAATATCTTGATCTATCAAATAATGAACTTGAGGGTCCATTTCCTGTGCTTTTGTCCAACATGACCAGTCTTCGACACCTTGATCTATCAATTAATAAACTACAGGGAAGGCTACCAAGATTCTTGGGATATCTTTGCAACTTGAGTTTTGTTGATCTGACATTCAACAACTTTATCGGGGAATTGCTTATAAGCTCATCTAAATGTGTAGTATATGCTTTGGAGACATTGTCCTTGTCTGAGAATCATCTTTCTGGTCATTTACCTGATGAATTTGAACAATTTAAAATTTTGCGATACTTAAGTCTCAGGGATAATTTGCTTTCTGGTTCCATTCCAGCCACTATAGGAAGATTGGCATCGTTAGAAATATTGGATTTACAAAGAAATCAACTAAATGGAACTCTTCCCCAAAGTTTTGGACAATTTTCAAACTTGAAAACTCTTGATGTGTCTAATAATTTGTTGGAAGGCATTGTGTCAGAAGTTCACTTCACCAATCTCATCAATCTGAGGAAATTATATGCCTCTGGAAACCGGTTGACTTTAAAGGTGAGTCCTAACTGGATCCCTCCTTTTCAACTTAAAGAAGTAAAACTTGCTTCATGGCATTTGGGCCCAAGGTTCCCCATGTGGCTCCAATCACAAAAGGGCCTCGAGGACCTTGACCTAGCCTACACTGGAATATTAGATGCCATACCAATTTGGTTTTGGAACTTATCTTCCTCCCTTTATTCTCTAGATCTCTCCCACAACCAAATCCATGGTGAGATTCCATATCTTCTTGCTCCTCCTGGATGCCAATATATTTACTTGAATTCCAACCATTTTAACGGTATTTTACCCCATATTTCTTCCAATTTGAAGCACCTTGATCTTTCCAACAATTCATTTTCTGGGAATATCTGCCACCTCCTATGTGAAGGGAAGGACAAACAAAACAATCTAGTATTTCTTGATTTAGGAGAAAACCTTCTGTCAGGTGAAATTCCTGATTGTTGGATGAGTTGGCAATCACTAATAATCATAGAAATGGGAAACAACAATCTGACAGGGAATATCCCAAGATCCATGGGGCTTTTAGGAAGTTTGCAATCGTTACATTTGCGCAACAACCATCTCTCAGGAGAAATTTCTTCATCTCTACAAAATTGTACGAGTTTAGTGTTGGTTGACCTCGGTGAGAATGAGTTTCATGGAAGCATACCTACATGGATGGCGGAAAGGCTTCCATATTTGATTGTTCTTACCCTTCGTTCAAATAAGTTAGATGGCAGAATACCTCCAGAACTTTGTCGCCTCTCCCATCTTCAAATCTTGGATCTTGCTAACAACAATTTGTCTGGAGCAATACCTTGGTGTATCAACAATTTTATTGCCATGGTAAGAAAAGAAAAAGATGTGCATTCTATTGCAAATGAAATTCCAATCGATGAAATTGCTCCTGCTGCTGCTCCTATTGCTTCTGCTCCTCTTGCTTCTGCTATTCCCTTTGGTAGCAAAGATTTCTCAGATAATGAAGTTTTGGTGACAAAAGGAAGCATATATCAATATGACAAGACTCTTTCTCTTGTGACTACCTTGGACCTTTCGAACAACATCATATCTGGAAAGATCCCTGAGGAACTAACTAGTCTCCAAGGATTGCATTTTCTGAATTTGTCTGGAAATCATATAACTAGTGTGATTCCAAAGAAGATAGGTAACATGGGGTTGTTGGAATCTCTTGATTTATCTAGAAACCAACTCTACGGTGAAATTCCTCCAAGCATGTCAGGTTTGAATTTTTTAAGTCACTTGAATTTGTCTTATAATAACTTGTTTGGAAAAATTCCATCAAGTGCCCAACTCCAGAGCTTCCATGCTTCTAGCTTCACCGGCAACAAGCTTTGTGGACCTCCACTCACAAAGAATTGTAGCGATAATGGCAAAACACCTGAGGGGAATGAAGGAGATAGCGAAGGTGCTAGATCTGAAGTGGATTGGTTTTATGTGTTTATGGCTTTGGGATTTGCGGTTGGTTTTTGGGGCGTCTTTGCTCCTATATTGTTCGTTAAGTCATGGAGGTATGCATATTTTCGATTTCTAGATAATGTCTGGACTAGACTTGTGTTGCTATATGTGAGTAAATGACTTCACATTGTACCAGTCATCTAGAAGTCTTCTATTTGTGTCTTCTAACTATTATGAATAAATTTGTTTTCTTGGAATGTCTTCTTTATGCATAAAGTTCTTGTGATTTTATAATGAAATTTTCCATATCATGGTTAAAGTTTTTGTCAATAAGCCGCTTATGATTCTGTGTAAAATGAAAAGTCTGAGAATCATTTGAGAAGTTGAAAAACTTCAAAGATTATGAAAATCTAATGTTCTGCAGAACTCCAACTTTATAATTCATATGGAAATTCTTGCTGAACTTCAGAAGCACATCATCAGCTTCAAGACGGTGGATGATGCCCTGCAAAATAGTTATTTATAAACCGGTCTGAAAACACAAAAGATAAATCACAAGCTTTGCTCTCTCCTCCCTCCCCAACAGCCATCAGAAATTGAAACTTGTTTCCTATTTTATGTAAACAAAAAAGAAGAAACTGACGACATCAAATAATCCCTAAGAGATGGACGTCAATCTCCTTACAATGGACTAGTAAACCTGGTGCCATAAAACTAATTAAAGAAATTTTCTAGTGTTATGTAATCCATAGAAGAAAAAAAACTAGTAAAACAGATGAAAAATTTTCTTACATGAATGTTTTATGCACTAAATTGGTCAAACTTCATATTGGTTCAAAAACATTCACGGACAAGCAGATTGACACAGACAATTTATCAGTGCAGCTATCCCTGAATTTCAGGGGTAAAGAGCATAAATAAAACTTAAATAATCATCAATTCAAATCCCAAAGTTGAGTTATGAAAAAATGGTAGCAAGAATATCAATAAAAGTCGCATATTCTTGTAGGCTCTATATAAAGCTTTCTAGCTGATTAAGGCCAAGTTTGGTATATTGTAAAAAAGTTAAAAAGTCAAAAAGTTAAAAAGTTAATATTATTCATCAAAAATCAACAATTATAGCTGCACAACTCTCAATCCTAATTTTCCTCTACAAATCAATTTTTACAATTTTTTATTACACATTTTTCTATAAAAAGTTAAAAAGTTAACCCAAACATCTATATTTTCTTCTTCAATTTCTTAGTCTAAAAAGACAAAAAGTACACTTATTTAGTACACCCAGTAAAATGGGTTTTGGGCTGCTTGGAATTCATTAAATATAAAGTAAAGCAACAAAATTTATGCGGCATGTTCAAGCATAAGCTGATGAATTTCAACAACAAAAAAAGGAAGTTCCGAGGGACACAAAAAACACTTTGACTGTGTTTGGAACGATTTTCAAACTATGATTTTACCCTCATATTATAATATGATATTTGGATAGGATGTTCCAATCATATTTCCACAACACTTTGGCCAAGTTTGGGAATTTGTAAAAAAGTCAAAAAGCCAAAAAGTTACTCAAAAAATTAAAAAGTTAACACTATTCACCAAAAGTCAACAATTACGGCTGCACAACTCCCAACTTATTTAGGTTATCCCAAACAACCCCTCCCTACAAATTAATTTTTACAATTTTTTATTACACATTTTTCTATAAAAAGTCAAAAAATTAACCCAAACATCTATATGTTCAACCTCAATTTTTTAGTCCAAAAAGATAAAAAGTGCACTTATTTAGGACATCCCAAACAATCCCTTAGAAAACTCTGCGGAAAATTTTGTGTGAGGCGTAATTTTCAAAAAAAAATAAAAAAAAATTGAAATTTGGCCTAACCGATCATCCAACCGGTTGACCGGAACAATGCAAATATTTTTTTTTTTTTTTACAATTGACATATGTTAATTTTTATATACTCAAAAAAAATATTTTCTGAATTTTTTAAATTTTTTTATGTACTTTAATAGAATTTTGAATTATATGTTTAGTTATGAATTGTAAATTTTTATATCAAATATCATATGTTACATCAAAAATACTCTACTCAATTCAAAACTCATTCACCAAACAAATTTCTCACACTTAAATCATAATTTCAAAACTCACAAACTCAAAATACAACTCCTACTCTCAAATCATATTTAGAAAACTCTACCAAACGCAACCTTCTTATTCTTTTTTTTCTTTTTCTTTTTTTCTTTTTTTCTTTTTTTTTTTTTTTAGAGGCAAGCGTTGCAAAAGCAAAAGCACCATGCACAAGAGAAGGCCTCTCAGCGAGCCCAAGAACCGCGAGAGCCAGGCCAACAAATTAGACCCTTTCCTCCTCATGGTAATGCGCTCCATGTCATGACACCTCATTTCTTTCTGAAAAATAGCTACAATTTAAGACCCAACATCTACAACAAGGCCACACCAGACCATTTAACTCACCAACCATTAGAATTTAGAACTCACCTCCAAATGTAGCTCTTCCATGTTAAGCAATGTATTGAAGTAAGTAGCATAGTTCTCCTTCATAAGACCTTGTGTAATAACCTCAGGGACTTGCTTATTCTCCACTAGCTCTCTAACAACCGTTGGAATTTCAAACAGAGAAAGTTTATAATTTAGCCCTCAGGTTTTCGTCTTAGCAGACTCATCAGTGGCATATTGTTTTCTTCTGAATAAGGCTTCTTTGAAGCCAAGGATAGCGAGGCCTTGTCTTCAGCCAATACAAAAACTACCCGTTCAATCCTTTTGTCTCCTACATCAAAATGTACCACGGATGTGTGCAGACCAATGTCTTTTGGTTTGCAAGATAACCAAATAGTTTGAGTCTGGAGTGGCAGAAGAACTCTATCCTCGAGAGAAAATCCCTCCAAAAAGCCTTGAATGTAGTACGCGTCTGAATTGACTGAATGGTTTCAGGAGGGCTAAAGTGAACGAAACTGCGGGATTTGAACAGAAAAAGTTGACTCCCCAGAGTTCCACCGGTTCACTTCTTGTGTTTTGTATGGCAATTGGATGCACGGAAGTTTCTCCAACAAAAACGGACAAAGGCTTTCCTTGTATGAAGGGAAATGGAATGGAGATAAGAACCGGACCCTCTTCATTTGGGTCATAAGCACACAAAGATTTGTCGTCCTCAAAGTCAATAAATCCGATTTCCCCCTTGTCTCCAATGACGGAGAAATCATCACCACACCGTTCCCTTCCAATCAAACTCATTGTTACTGGATGTTTGTACCAACCAGGTTCCTAGAATGCTGATCAAACACTAAGAATAGTAAATAAACACTCTGAACAAAATTTATGATTGTAGTAAATTCTATAAAATGATAATAAAACAATCCATCTCTAGAATGATTGTACCTCGTTCTGTTCCGAATTATAAAAATATAGCCCCGTGAGCAAAAGCTCCTGAATTAGCACATAATATTCATAGGCTGAGGATAATTAGATGATTAGACAACCTTAAAAATCGGAGAGAGATAGAGAGAGGAGAGAGAAGAAGAATAAGAAGATAAATAGAGATTCATTGGTGGCTATCATTTTCAACTATTCCCACTAGAGTTGTGTTATACATAAACATAATTTTAGCAGATTTTTTTTTATCATTAGACACAAATATATCAAACCCACATTAATAAATTCGCTATCATTTTTCATTCCGACTATAAACTGATGCCATTGTCAGGCTAAGAAACTTGTGATCAAATACCAAGAATGGAAACTATACTCGTTTGCTGGAAATTAATGCAATGAAAGGTAATAACACAACCATACATACCATCTATGATAAAGAACCCACAAAAGTTACAAAAAGTAAACCCATGAGAGCAAAAAATCAGAAAAAAAAAAAAAAAAAAAACATAAACATAAACATAAGCCAAAAGCAAGATTACAAAGTAAAATCATTTGTTAGGCATAACAGTTATCATCCCAAATTGAGACTTGTCTAACTAGTATCATAGCCCAAACATCATTAAATTACCCTCTCTTTTTTTGTTGCACTTACTAGTGAATAGGTTAGCACAATCAGGTGTTTTGACACTTTTTCATAAATTCGAATTTGAAATATCTCCCCCTAGAAACCTAAAAGCACAAACATTTGAGCATGACTACTAACATTTGAGCTACCCTCAAGTTCCATCCAATATCAAGGATTTCTAGTTTAATGCTACAAAACATAAAACAAATAAATAAACAAACACACAAAATGAAGTGACCAGAGCTATGTGGGTTGAATCTCCAAACCCTGAATAAAATTTTAAAACAAAACCGAAACTTCAATAGCTGATTGAACTCCCACATTTAACGTATCAGATTTTACAGAACAGTTCAGGAAGAAGAGGCCATAAACACAGATGATAAAAATCTATAATGCAGCTCAAAGACATAAAAGAAAGATATCATTCATACCTTTGATCAGAAGTTGAAGAAAATGGTTTCTGGTTGAGGGAAAGTTGAGGGAACCAAAGAGAAAGTGACTGAAACTAAAGAGAACCCAGATGTGTAAACAGAGTAAATATGCGTTTGGAGTACAAGATATAAACCACTAGATTAAAAAAATAATAATAAATACCAACAATGACGACCATTTAGTGCCCAGACTGGACGTCCAAAGCTCGGGCCACACAAGCAGGCGTGCTCATATATACATATATATACATATATACTCCCTTCCTCCTTCAAACTAGTGATCTTCTAACTTCAAAGAGTTGCATAAGTAAGCCTAGGCTAGTAAGTGCAAACAAAGATATGAACACAAGATGTATGAATGGTAAAAGTGCTGCCACTCCCTCAGCCTCTTGCGTAAAGATCAAACCCAGATCAACACATTTCCCAGCCGAAACTTAAGTTGATAACACAATGTTAAATAACAATGGATGTTTTCGGCATTCAATAGTTGAATCTATTCCATCCTGAAATCACTGCCGAAACAATGTACAAATTACAAGAAGCCACTGAACCCATGAGCAGACTATTTTATCAAAATGAGCAAAAATCAACAAGCATTTTGGGTCATGCATGCTTTCCTGTCTGTAAAATGAACCAACAGCCCTTATGAGCTATCACGAGCAATTCCCAATAAATTCTATGTTCTCCAAGAATGATCTCACCAATCCAGAGTTGCACTTCAAATTTTTATTCGATTTCTTTCAGTGTGCTCTCTCCCTCTTCTCTAATCCCTCCCACAGCACCTTAAAAACCAACAAATGTAAAGAGAAATAAGTGAATCAGTTTAGGGAACCAAATATATGTATATAGAACATGAGCAGAACAGATTCTTCAACTGTCATTTATTGAAAAATGACATAAGTCAATAGATGTGCAGTATGTCATGCTGGTGGTGGGATTGGCAGTGCATGACAGTAATAGCAATGATGGCGGCGGTTGCAACATTTATATTGGTGGGAAAATTTTAAAAAAATATAAAAAAAAAAAATAGAAATGATTCAATATGAATGATTGCCTATTGCCTTCCTGATAAGGCCCAAAATTTCCTTTTAAAACAGGAAATCCAGCTAGCATTATATTTCAATCGAAACAAAGAACCGGCACTAATGCCCTACTATTCAGCAGTTTGCATGCTTGTCTTGCTAATCCTAATTTAATGTCAATACAAAGTTTCAGGAAATACTGGTCAAATGTTAATGAGAAGCAAAAGTACCGCTTGTATCGCTTTTTGGAACCACATGGGCAGAGTGCATTCCGACTTATTTGTCCACTTTTAGCCAAGTTCGACCGAGCAAGATCCATTGGTGTTGAACCCATCAGCTTTTGGACCTATGGAACATAAATCACTAGTCTTTCATGGTCATACAAGGAAATAGGGAAAAATGACCTGTGCAGATGACATAATTCCTTTTCAACTTGTCCAATTTCAGAGAGAAGACAACATCAGGTAATCCAATCGATTAAATAATCAATTGTAGTCTAAAAAGAAAAGATGAAAACAAAATAAAGTGATGCTCCAATCATTGAACTTCAAAGATTATAGCAAAATTCAGTGCCTCAAGAACAGACCATCAGACACCACCATATTAAAATAAACAAAATAATAATATATATAATATTATACAAACTACGCCCCTACTGAACTTATCCAAACCCACGTTATATTAGTCCTTTATTTTTTCATTCCTTTAACACTCTACTTTTTATTCTTTTGAATGAAATGCTGCGGCGTCAAACAAATCTTGTTATTATGTGAATATTTAGTTGTCCTTAACCCAAGCATGCCTTTGACATTTTAGATATACTTTAGTCTAACTAAATCCAAATGAATTTAAACAGGTGTTAACTAAAATCACAGAAGACCATTTAAAAAAAAAAAAAAGAGCCAGTCAAACAGTGCTTTTCAGCAACAGCTAGGAGGAAGGAAGGGAGAAGGAGGGAGGTTTCCCTTGTTTGGTAAGAAAGTTGAGGGGACAAAAGAGAAAGGAGTGGGGATGCTCAATTTGCCAAGCCCACATTTTGTCATCTGCCCATTTCTGAGCTGTTGAGAGAAAGAAAACAATCTCATGCCTCAAAATAAAAATACGTTGGTTGTTGATTCAATTAAAAATTACCTTCCACTGAGACCCATTTCCAATCAATTTTCAGATTTAGTTGTTAAACCACTGAATGCCTTCAGTTTTAAGGACTAACATGCTCCATCAAGTAAGGCCTGAGTTTCTTCTACTAGCATATAAATTTTCTTGTCTATTGAGTAAAAAGGTCACCTAGAGCACCAATCCCAATAAAGATGAGAAAAGATGTGATGCACAGACCTCTACACATGCATACTGCATATTCTTAGCTAACTAGATTGAAGAAAAAAAACAACAAAATAACAAAATAACACCTTTTTGTAAGTTGTACATACAATTTATTTATTTTACTTTTTTTTTTAATAAATAATTGTACATACAATTTATCAAACTTTCACATGCAACCAAAATGGAAGTCAAACAATATCCCCAGCCCACACTGTTCCAAATGATTTCTCACCCACAAATAACAATTTTTACAACTCTAAAATACATAACCACTATAAACCTACATCGGCAGAAAGAAATTCATAATAGAATCCAAAAAAAATACCTCCGCCAAACTCTTTGGCATTGGCTTCCCTTCTTCCTTTAACTTCAACTTTCTTATGTGCTTCTTTAGCCCAAGTGAACTTTGCTAATGTATTCTCAACATCAACTATTGTGCAGTTACAATGCTTAGTTGCTTCTTGCTTTTGACTGCTTTGGAGATTCTACAATCAACAAATGAGAAAAGCCAAACGAAATGGTGAACCAATGGAAACAACTCCCACAGCATAAACAAAGTTCAGCATAATTTTATATATATTGCTAAAATTTATTATTTATTACAGAAGCCTATACAATGACATTTTTTTATTTTTTTGATCGAACCATACCTATTTATCGCGAAGCTGCCATAGATGAGAGAGAAAGGTCAAGACCAGAAACACCCCGAAAGCACAGCCAGACGGAACCGAATGTGTTTGTGAGATCAATTGAAAGTAAAGTGAAGTAAATAGAGTGATCTGTAAAGTGATAGCAATCAAACATAATAAAGTAAACAGAGTGGTCTTTACCTTTAGTTTGAGAAGAGTGAGCGAAGTGAGACAAACTTGAAGAGTGAGCCGACTGATTTGGCTGGAGAGCAATTTCGAGAAGAAGAAGAACAAGGAGTGAGAGAGATAAAGAGGGAATGGGGTGGGTGAGAACAGAGAAGGGAGATAGATAAAGATAGAATGGAGGGCCTTATGTAAAATTGAAGTCCACCAGTGAGAGATGGGCCGGCCTTTGGAATGAATTTTTTTGGGCTTATTTTGACTTTTAAAATTTTCTTATATAACTTTTCAAAAATAATTTTGCCGCAAACACGTTATCACACCGATGTTGTCATTGCCTCAAAAGCTCTCTCACAATTAATTTTTCCAATTATTTTTTATCAACTTTAATACAGACCTTCCATCCAAGACTGTATATGGAGAACAGTTTGACCTACATTAATTTAAAAGGTATAGTCAAACTCAAAATATATGCGAATGTTGTTAGATTAAATAGCAAAAATTTTACAATACTTACAGAATAAACTATTTGTATCATTCAATCTAAATTGTAAAATGAAAAGCTTAACCCAAACCTAATACTCTTACAATACTTATTTGTAACGCCCTCAAATTAATAACATATCTACTCTTCTATCAGCCATAAGACCATAGCAGTTGACATAGTAACACATCCCTTCTAGCCTCTTATTCATTACGTTTCATTAACAAGTATTAACATGTTAACACATACAAAAGCCCCGTAGCGGTCTTCTTTCCCCAGCTAATTCCACAGTTTTAACAGGCGAGCCTTGGTTCACAACAAGAGTACTAACTCGATACAACATTAGCCCTTGGCTTGGAAGTTTCACATTGTATACATCAAAAGTTGTTATAATACGACAATATACATGTTCCGCTCTCCTAAGTTCCTCTCAGCTTATGTTCCGTCCTTTTCATTTGGCATAGTGTGGTCATCGACTTCCTGTACCTGAAAATGATGTTCCCATATAGGGTGAGCCACAGCCCCAGTAGAAAACACACTAACCCAACCTATGGACATGACTAAAACATTAGCATTGAATAGTTGGTCAGACACTGAACAATCACATAAATTACATTTTATGTCACGACTTCATGGATTCCCGACTTCATCTTCTTTCAGGTTTTTCACCCTCTCTATTATTAACGACCCACAGCGTAAGTATGAAGCGACTTGCTACATGCGGACCACGATCTTGAGCTGATTGCACCTGGTACTTAGAGAAGTGGTCCTACGGGGTCATTCCCAACTGGGAATTACCAAGACTACTTACGTTAGTATTTCCCGGGTGTGTTTAGGTTACATACTTTGGGTATTAACCATCAATCACATTTTTACTACTCTACTCTTAACTATTTCTTGCCAAGGCCGCCTCCTATCATTCTCATCCGGGTTTTCAACCTTGCGAGCTCTGTTTTTTCTATTTCTTTCGTTTTCATTATTCTTTTTTTTCCATATTCTTCTTTCTTGCTACCTTAATTATTCCACAGCTTTATATTCTTTCTATCATCAGTTCCCTGTTTTTATTTCACCTATACTACTTTTTCTTCTACTCAATGCTTATGACTATTTGTTATATCACCCAATATATATTCCACAGATTATATGTCTTTCCGTAATACAAGCTGTATTTCCACACTTTCTTTATCAATAGCAATTATGCCCATAATATGAGCTCCTATCTTTTCACTTTTCTCTTATGACAAGCATATGTAGCTCATTGTCTACGGAAAGTCTTGTCATTCCCTATCTATACCCTTCCCAATTACGTCTTCATTCCGGTTTAGAGGACAGTCCCCTGTAATCTTCCCCTATACCGCGGAGTACATCTCTTATTTCCTCCTCTAACACATACGTATACAACACAAAGGTCTATATACAATCACATGAGCACAATACATTATAATAGATGGTATTCTATCAACCGTCAAGTTCATGACACATTTCATTGTATTAGGTTTCAAGTTATTACTTAATCATCGCATTGTCTACAACAATCACGTATATCCT